CCGTCCCGTCATGAATGCAACAGGGCCGGCGCTCGGACAGTGCCAGCCCTGCATAGATTGGCAGGTGAGATCCCGATGGCCAGTCCGGGCCTGTGCACCAATATTGTTGCCAAAATGACGTGGGCATGAGGAACTACCTCTAACAGATTACCTTACACCCTACATTCAAACAGCAACACTTCACAAAAATGCACCCCTGCATTCAAATACCAAAACTACACATACATTCATCCCTGAATTCACACATACATACTACACACAAAAACACGCTTATGTTCGAAAACATAGACACTGCACACAGAAAAACCTACAAGGATGGGCAAATGTTAGATACCCAGCTGGCAAAATATTGTTTGGGTGGTAAAACAGTTGATTGTCTACCTTTTGGTCACCCCTGCTCTATAGGGAGCCAAGATAAAATTTTGCACCAGGGCCCTCTCTTTATTAGTTCCATTACTGAGCCACACAATGGCTCAGTGATGGATAGAATGCCCTTATTTGATTCGATCCCCAGACTCAGGGTGTCAATCGGCAGGTTAGATGTTAAAGTAATTTACAAAGAGTAGTTTTAAAAAGGAAAATAATCAAATTGGATAAAAGTGGTAGGTAAGTGGAGTGTCTCTGGGTTCTGTCCTGGGTCCACTTCTTTTTAATCTGTTTGTAAATAATATTGAAGTAGCCATTGAAAGTCATTTGTCAGTACTGGCAGATGACGTAGTAGCCAAGATAATACAGTTGGAACATGATATAACTTCTCTACTGGCAGATTTGGATAAATAGGGGGACTGGAAAGGCAAGTGGCAGATGAAATTCAATACATATAAATGCAAATTCATGCATTTTGGAAACGGAACCCACAAGCCATTTATACAATAAGTGGGTTTGAGTTAGGGATAACGTTAAATAAAAAAGAATTTGGACCTGTTTAGATAACAAACTAGGCAACAGTATGAAATGCCAGTCTGCCATTGCAAGAGCTAGTAAAGTGCTTCCATGTAGGGCTATTGATTCACATGACCACAATATAACTTTTTCTTTGACTATACTAGCATCTATACCAGGGTAACTCTATCAGTTCTACCATTAAAAGTACACAATCTAAGGTGAGAAATAACCAAGTGAACAAATTGCACATGTAAGTGGTCTTTTCTAACACCAATAATAAATTAATATAAATATGTGTTTTGCAGTCTGTTCAGTTTAGCTGACCATAAGTCCCCAATCTTCTAGGTTTTTGGTGACCCAGGTTTTGAGTCTGTTTATCTCAGCACTTCATTAGTCTAGGTCAGGGGTAGGCAACCTTTGGCACTCCAGATGTTTTGAATTAAATCACCCATAATGCTCTTACAGCCATAATGCTAGCAAAGCATCATGGGCGGTGTAGTCCACAACATCTGGAGTGCCAAAGGTTGCCTTCCCCTGGTCTAGGTAAACAATTACGTTTAGTATACCGAAAAGCTATAATGAGTAAAAAGGCATATGCATGCAACATTCTTTGTAACATTTGGAATAGCTGCCAAATTCTCAAGCTAGGAAAAAAAAAGTATAAAAGGATGAATATGATAAGCTGAGTATTCAGGACAGGTATAGTCTTTGATGTTTTTTATAGACTAAAGGAAAGAGCAAGGTCCTCCATAACCAACTGATAGGCTTTCCCGACATGTTAGAATAGTCTTTTGACAGGAATGTACTAGAAAAATACCAAGGTATCAGTCAAATCTTTTTAAGGCCAGTCTGACTGGAAATGTACACATTTATATCACAGTAAGATATCTTTTATATTCTTATAAAGAAGCAGAGGGAACAAATTTGGTTAAAGAACTATAGAATTATTGACAAAAGTGTGGTTGATGTTGAGATATGTTGAAGTACTCTTAACAGTGTTATTGTCAATAGTGTGAATAAAGTTGTTGCCCCGCCTCTTCCCATTTTGAGTGGCATTGCGAAGCACAGTACACACATGCTGTTTTGTAACTCACCATTATATCTTTTGCAGTTAGTCTGCTCTTAAATGTAGTTGGCAACATAGGAACTATGTCCACCGCGTACATACTGCGATCGCAGGGGTCGCAGCTGCGACCGGGCCCAGCCTACCAGGGGGCCCGGCCGCCCTGCAACCGAGTATGTACGCCAGTTTGCCAGCCTCTTCTCCTGGGGGGCCCAGGAGCTGGCCACCTCAGGGCCCCCCGAGGCTGGCAGTGGCATCACTTGGTGGGCGGGCGGGCAAGGGAACATTCTCCCCTGAGCGCTCTCTGCCCAGCTCCCACGCGCGCACCGCACTGATGCCAGAGCCTGTTCCGGCATCAGTACGCGGCGCGCGAGGGAGCTGGGCGGAGAGCCCTCAGGGGTAGTTTGTGTGTGTCTGTTATTGAGTGTGTGTCTGCTAGTGAGGATCAGTGTGTGTGTGTTAGTGTGTGTCAGTGAGTGTGTTATTGTGTGTGTCTGTTACTGAGCATGTTAGTTTGTGTGTGTCTGTTAGTGAGTCTGTTTGGTGTCTGTTAGTGAGTGTGTGTTGGTCAGTGAGAGTGTATGTTTTGTAAGTGAGTGTGTATGTGTGTCTGTCTGTCAGTGAAAAAGAAAATAGACTTTGGTTTGGTATTTTCTCATATGATCAGCTTTTTGTACATTATTTGCTGCATATTGACTCTATTGGTTCGGTAGTTTGAAACTACCGAACACCGACCACCCTCCTGGCTCATTAACTTCAAAGGATCAGTCTATTAAGTGCTCTCCCTGGGCGGCCGGTGTTCGTATCGCCGAATGCCACGTGGAACAGAAAACGGCGGCCATCTTGTTCGCACGAAAGGAGGCAGCGGGACTTGGTCGGCGAGTGTCTGGAACTAAAACCACCAGGAGAGTGCCATTCGGTAGTTTTGTGCGAACAGACAAGGGGAGCAATCGCTCCTATGAGCCAGGAGGATCCATTCGGGACTTTGTTTGTTTTTTACCTTTTTCTGAATTGACCGACCGCACACGCTGAATTCGTGGAACTGCTTTGGGCAGGAGCCTCGTGTGTGGTCGGTAAAATATGACTTCCATACTTTTTAAGAACCCCTGAACCGATCTGGGTGAAATTTGGATATGTTGGTCTCCCAGATCGGGGCTATCAGGGGATATCTTGTGGGGATACCTTGTGGGGAAAGGGGTGTTCTAAGTTTTGGGGAAATTGTGTGATCTCTGCCTGGAGATAATTGGTTTATTCCTTAACTTATCTCATTATCTCCCAGGCAGAGAGAGGGCGTGTATTACTGTAAATCTGTATGTTGATTGGCTGTTGTCTTTGTTTGCTGTGGGAGGTCCTCTTGCAGGAGGATTTCTCATAAATGCCCATGTGTTTTCAATAAACATTCCTGTTACACCTTTCATGAAGTCTAGTCTCATGTTTGGGGGATATTGTATTTGCTGGGGAGAATCGTCTTGGAAACTGTCTCAGAAGGCTATACCTTTCAGTATAAATTATTATTTGATC